AGTCTCCAGATCCTGTGAATGTTATCCTTTGTGGCACAAAAAGACATTTTGCATATGTGAACAAGTTAAAGATTTTCGGATGGGGAGAATAATCAGGTTTTTTGGGTAGCCTTAAATGTAATCACCTGTGTCCTTATACAAGGGAGGCAGAGAGGCCCAGCCATGGTGGTGCAAGCTGCAGGGTGGTGGTGCATAGTGTCTAAGGCTCTTTGAGGGCCAGTGGAAATTCCATATGGGGCAGGGATGGCTATTGCACCCACAGGCCTGGTTTGACTCCTGGGTCAACTTAAACAGGCTGGGTGCAAAGGCATGAACCTGTGATCCTAGCTAGCTGGGATGCTGGGGCAAGAGGATTGTATCTTGGCCAGATGGCAAGACCCTGTTGAAAATATCTTTCTCTTTCCTGGATGCACTCTCTCCATTGCTCATAAAAAGAGGGGCAGAGGATAAGCAGGTGGCATGGTGGTTAGAGGTGCTGGATTCCCACATGGCCGACCGTGGTTCGAGTCCTGGGCCTGGTGGCTTACTTTCTCTCTCTCTCTCTCTCTCTGTCCCTCTCTGGTCAAGTTGAAATAAGCAAATGAATTAATAAATACTGTTAAATAAAATAATTCTTTAAAGAAAAAAGGGGGGGCGGGTGGAGACTGGTGGTGTATGGTGCAGCGGGAAAACATGATGCTCTACGAGGCTAATTCCCATGGAAAGTCCCTGGCTCAAGTATGGAGACCTCCCTAAATGTGCACATGTGTCTGTTATCCAGGGCTGGCTGAATTTGGGAGATCTCAGTGTCAAGACCCTATTGGATGCTGTCTCTCTGTATCTCTCTGTGTCTTTTTTTCTGTGTCTCTTTTGCTCATGGAAGAGATAATTTTTTTTTTAAAGGAGACAGAGAGAAAATTGGCAGCATAGATAAAGTCAATGTGGTAACTGAAGCAAGATGCTACTCTACTAGCTGGTAGAGGAAGCGCCCTAGAGCCAAGGAGTGCAGTTCTAGGAGCTGAAAAAGATTTTCTTCTACAGCCTTGAGAGGGAGCACTGCCCTATAGATGCCTTGATTTTATCTCCTAAAACTCATTCCAAAGTACAACCTCTAGAATTGTAAGAGAATACATTTCTGTTGTTCTAAGCCAATAAGTTTGTGGTCATTTCCTGGAGCAGCCATAAAAAGCCAACACAGTGCTTAATAAACATTTGTTGAATGAATAAGTATTTCTCTCTCTCTTTTTTTTTTTTTTTTTGAGAGGTTTTTACTATAGGGTGCGTGCACTTACCAGAAAGACAGAGAGAGACAGAGAGACAGAAAGCTAGAAATCACCCCCCAGGGTGGATGGCCACGCCACAATCCTTTCTCCTCTGTTCTCCTCTCAGGATCTTGGGCACACGTGCCCAGCGTAAGTTTAAGCCACTAGGTCCGGGACTTGAACAGTGGTTGACTACATGAGAGTCCAGCGACATAGCCATTATGCCAATTGCTGATCCCATGAATAAGTATTTCTTGAACAAGTGACTCAAGGAGACAACAGTATGGCTTATAATAAGCAAAAGGTAACTGAGAAAACAACAAACGCGGTGGAAACAAATGGTGCTGTTCCATTTGCGTTAGATAGCTAGAGAGTTCCAAGTTTAAAGCAGCTTTCTCTGCTAGGAAAGTGAGATGAACAGTGTTAGTGTCAAAGATCTGTGAGCACCAACTGGGACTTTGTCTTTGCACATTGAAAAAAGAGACAGTGTTCTTATTCTGCCAGTCAGTGATACTTCATGTTTCAGCTTGCTGGGGCAAGAGAAAGTGTAGAGAAAGACTTTACAGAGATGGTGACATTTGTACCTGGTCTTGAAGGATGAATGAATGAGCAGAGCATGGGTGGAGAAAGAGGGAGGGAAGCTTTTAGCATAGCAGTTAGGTCTGCGTGCCACTGCAAATTATCGCCGTAGGGTGAGTCCTACAATTTGAGAGATGCGGCTAAAGTGATGGGGAGCCTCCAAAGGCATCTAAGTAGACAGTACTGTGGTCTAATCTGACCTTGAAGAAATCTTCCCAGCATGGCCTGGAGTAGGGATTGGGATGGAGAGAGGGAAGACAGGAGGATTCATGAGGAGCTTTGTGCTGCTTTTTCTTTTGTCCAGTCTCTTTCTCATGTTCCAGCTCTTTTTTAAACATCGGGGTCCTGAGATCTCCATCTTCCACCCTCTCCTCTTTGACCTGCTTTTCCTGCATGGTGACCTGATGTGCCCCTTTGAGTTGCTCTATCATGATGGTTCCTACATGTCTCTGTCTGGCCAGACCTGTCTACTGAGTTTTCAAGGGGGGTTGGAGTCTTTATCTGGTATCTGCCCATAGGGTGCAGGTTCACAGGGCATGTGTTGAGTTGAGGTGCCACTGACTCATCAGGGAGATAGTAAGGGAGATACTCAGATATGAGACTCAGGGACCTGGAAGGGGAAGTCAGAAGAGGAAAAAGGGAAAGATCTGGGAGCATTTGAGAAGATCAGGGGTACATGAAGAACAAATATTCACATACCCTGAGAATGGAGTCATTGTTCCTTGGAGTCAACAACTCATGGCCATGGTAGTTGCTTGTCAAAGGAGTCTTGAAATGAAGTTGTTTTACCTCGTCCTTAATGCTGTCTTGGGACAAGAAGGCCCTTCGGCTAAGCAGACTGGACTTGAAGCCAGAGAGGACTGGAGAGAACCGGAGAAAATTTCCACAGGGCCAGACAAACTTGACCTCTGGGGAAAAAAGCCTTTGAAAGGCAGTTTGCATAGGACTTAAGCATAAGCTTTGGCTGCTAACCTGGGTTTACCTGTTACTAGAGGTACAGCCATGAGGATTACTCTTAGAGCCTCAGTGTCTGTGTTTTTTTTTTTTTTTTAGAGGTTTTTGCCATAGGGTGTATGCACTCACCAGAGAGACAGAGTCAATGTAAGAGAAAGTGAGAAATCTTCCTCAGGGGAGATAACCATGCCCCAATCCCTTTTCTTCCATTCTCCTCCTGGGATCTTGGGCACACACACACACTTACACTTGGTGTGTTTTTCAAGCCACCACGTCTGGGACTTGAACTGTAATAGGCCATGTGGGAGTCCAGCGATGAAACCACTAGGCCATCTACTGGCCCACAGAGCCTTAGTTTCTTCATTTGCGAGAGTTCCTGAGCTGGGACAATTAAATGAAATGAGTGTGTAAAATGCTTCTAAGAATCTTGGCAAATAATAAGTGCTCAATAAATATTATCTGTCATTATGTTTTTATTAGCTCCACAAACTTTTCTTTTCTTTTTTTTTCTTTTTTTGGAGAGGTTTTTGCTATAAGGTGCATGTATTTGCCAGAAAGGCAGAGAGAGACAGAGAGACAGAGGGACAGAAAGTGAGAAATCACTCCCCAGGGGAGATGGCCACGTCACAATCCCTTCTCCTCCATTCTCCTCTCAGGATCTTGGGCACACACGCACACATGCCTGGCATGAGTTTAAGTCACCAGGTCCAGGACTCGAACTACATGGGAGTTCAGCGACATAGCCATTATGCTAACTGCTGGTCCCCACAAACTTTTCTTAAATGCCAACACTTAACTCAGTCCTGTCCCAATCTGGGGAAAAAGAGTTAAAACAATCCATGTCGGGACTGGCAGGTGGCCTGGTGGGTAAGGGCGCTGCCCACATGGCCAACTGTGGTTCCAGTCTAAGACCTGATGATTTGCTTTCTCGCTTTCGCTCTCTCTCTCACTCTGTGCCTCTCTGGTCAAATTAAAATAAATAAGTAAATAAATAATATTAAATAAAATAATTATTTAAAAAGACAATTCCAGCCTTCACAAAGCCCATAGTCTAATGAGAGACAAACAAATAGATACAAAATTATATCAAGGGTTGAAAACTCTATAGTGGTGAAATCTCTAACTCCTTGGGGAAGGAAAGAGGTCAGAGAAGACTTCACAGAGGTGGTGACATTTGTGTTTGGCCAGGAAGAGTGAGTAGAGATGGAGAGAGGGCAGTGCTGGGCATTATAGGAGCCAGGCAGGAATAGAGGTGGTTGGACCACAGGTGGGCTCCAGATGATCATGGCTTCACCTTGGTCTAGCCTGCCTGGAAGTGTTCCTGCTTGTAACATCATGCTGAGCCTGCTCAGTTCCACGAATCTGAGGGCACCCTCCTGCCATGGGGAGGAGGAGGAAGCTCCTCTCTGGGCAGCGCCAGGCAGGTATCCACGGCAAGTTCCCTGTTGGCACCGGCTGCAGCCACCCAAGGCCAGCATGCGCAGGAGCTAGGCCTGCACTCTGTGTAACACGATGCTTGCCTGTACCAGCCCAACTTCTGGGCCCGCTCCCTAGGGGAGTGTCATCCAGTCCCAGATCACAATGATGTCCTCCCTCTGGCCGGCAGCCTGGCCCTTTGAGGGCCAGTGGAAACACCACATGGGGCAAAGATAGCTATTTCAACCACAGGCCTGGCTAGGGTTGAAATGGGTGTCCCTAGACCAGGCAGGGCACCCCCAAGCCCCTCTCTTTCACCAAAACTCTCACCTCCACTAGCAGCCATCTCTGTGCAGTACAGGGATTTGTCCTGACATGTAGGCTTTTCCCACCCAGAGATGAAGGACTTCCTTATGCCCTATGGCTAGGGGGTTGAGTCTCCCCCTCTTCCCACCATAAATGATGTCAGTCTCACTGTTAAAGTAACACAACACGTGTTAGATATAAAATGACAGAGCAGTGAAGTGCTCAGGCTCTAGAGTCAGACTATCTGGGTTCAAGCCCAAGCCCTACAACTTCCTAGATCAGCCATCATGGGCAGATAATGTAACCTTTCTATACCTTGGTTTCTTCATCCACCAAATGGAATAATCGAATCTATTCAATGTGCTAATCCAGGGGTTAGCAAATTTTGCCTGGAAAGGGCCAGAGGAAATAGTCTAGGGTTGCTGATTTAGCAGGTCTGTGTTGTAACTACTTCACTACGCCATTGTGCACAGGGAGAACATCTGTAAACGAGCGGGTGTGGCTAAGCCAATAAAACTTTATTTATGGACAATGCAGTTTGAAACTCCTATAATTTTCTTAAGTCACACAATATTCTTCTTTTGGTATTTTATTTTTAGCTATTTAAAAGTGAAAAAATATTTTTTTAGCACACAAACAAAACTAGGATTTGGCCTGCAGGCCGTTGTTTCCTATCCCCTGTGCTAATTAAAGTGCTCAGAACGGTTCCCAACCCCCTCATCTTGTGCTGACATTGAACATCAATGATGTGCTTATTAATTGTGTTCCCTATTATCAGTCGGAAGATCTGAAGATGGTGTGAAGCCAGCTGTCTGCAGTGGTCGGCTTGCTGGTGGACAGGCCACTAGTGGTGAAGGGGCTGTCTCCGAGTGGTGCCTACGCTGGTCAGTAGGAAGAGCAGTGGAGAGCATTGGGACAGTGTCCTTTACGCCTTGCTCTACCATTGGATAGGAACATCCAGCAATGCCTTTAGCTTCTCTGCCTTAGCTGCTCAGAACATGGCCACACCCCACCCCATGCCATAGCCCTCCCCCCATACTCTAAGGGCGTTGGGCCAGCCTCCTGCCTAAGGCACAGAGGAGGCCTTGCCTCAATGTCAATGACAGAAGCAGTTTATTCACAAACAGCTCCGGCTCCAGCTGCTTCTTCCTATCTTTGGCATCCAGCAGTAGTGGTCAGGTCTTGATACCTAAGGTCACATCCTTGGGCCCCAGTCCAGCTGGAGGAGTGGGTGACACCTCGGCTGGGTTTCTGGAGGAGTCTTTCTCAAGGCACAGCGAAGAGCTCTGTCTGGCCTCACCCAGGCCATACTGTGTCCTCAGTCCATCTCTAGCAGATGCACTGGGAAGGCTGCAGGATATACTTCGTCCTGGACAGCTGTGAGTGTTGCTGGGCAGCGCCCGATGGGTGCCAGCTCTGCACGTGCATAGGCCTTGTCTTGTTCAAAGCAGACTTTCAGCCAGTGTCTCTGAAAAGCCTAGAGCAGAGGTAGAAGGGCCCCTCTGTGTCTGAGAGACAGGGTTTAAGTCCTCAGCCCATGGCTGGTAGTCCTGGCTAGATCTTTCTTCCCATCTCTGCCTCAGGCTTCATCAGGCACCTGGGTATCTGTGAGCTGGTTGGAGAAGGCCCTTTCCAAGCGTAAGGTGTTGTATCTGGGGGGCGGAGTTCCAGGCACCTGAGCCCCTGGGGCTTGAGGCAGGCTCAAAGCAGAGGTGAAAGTGGGTGGGTCATCGTCCATATCAAGAGTTGGATTGTCCTGGCCCAGAGAACTTGGGGGAGCCTCGGGACAGGGGGGTGCCTTCTTCCGTGCCCACCACTCCTTGGCTTTCTGCCACTGTCGACGGGCAATGATAGAGAAGATGTCAATGAAGAAGACCTCAATGATCTCAATGACGCAGACGACAGAGCAGCTCATCCACAGGCCCAGCTGACCACCAAAGTTGGACAAAAGCATCTCGATCTGCAAGGGAGGCCAAGTCACACTATCAAGAGGGATGCCCCACCCTAGGTGGCTCCCAAGGGAGCCCCAACAAGCCCTGGTCCTGATCAGGTTTGGAGGAAGAAGTGAGCAGGCTTCCTACCCCCTCTTACTGTGTCCACTCTACCCCAGACCTGGCTGGGTCCCCACAACTTGACTCTGTTCACCACAGCCAGGCAGATGGGGACTTTCATAGACCCCGGACAGGTCCCAGAAGGAAGCCACTCACACTGTTGGCTGGGCTCTCCATGATGGATCTCTGGTTCAGGTCTTTGTAGAATATCAAGAGTTTGGCCAAGTCTGTCCTGCAGAAATTCCAAAGGCAAGACCCAGGTGAGTCAAGGCCTTTGCATGGCCATCTCTCACCAGCCCAAGTCCTCAACATGTTCTAGGGCCTGAGCACCCCAGGGTATTAGATCCTGGTCCATCAGGCTCCTTCTATACCTCAGAGCATATCTCCAGCCTGGGTTGAGTTCTTGGGCCATTCACTCCCTGAGAATGCCTCCCACCTTCCAGACCCAGCCGTGCTCCCAAAGCACCCCTATTCTTCATTAAACTTTGACCTGTGTAATTGTTCAATTGCTATTTTTAAATACACACAGGAGACAGGCATATAATGTAAATAAGCAAGGTAGGCAATAATGATTCTAACCAGAAGAGCAGCTAGCACTGATTGGGCTATGCAGTATTGCCAGGCACTGTTTTAAGAACTTTATGTGCATTAACTCATTGACTCTCACAGCAACCCTATGAGGTAGGTAGATATGTTTTAAACATCCCCATTTTGCAGATGTGAAAACCGAGACCTTATAACTTGCCCAAGATTATGCAGCTAATAATTGGCGGAGCCAGTACCAAAACCCAACAGATCTGCCTTCTCTCAAGTTCATGCTCTCAACTGCTGCACAGAACTGTCTGCTGACAGGACTATGATAGACTGGAGAGTTTGTGCTAATTCCAAAGGGACGACTATTACTCAGCTGACTGATGCTATGTAAGAATGGAGGGTCACTGATGTTAGAAAGTTTTGCTCTTTCAGGAAAAGCTGGAAATAACAGGGCTAGATTTGGCACAGGGCTCACCAGTTGGTCATATTTGGTTTAATGGTAAGCAACTGTTTGGTCAGAGTCCATATTTATCATTAGATTCCATGTACTTGTGGCCAAGACCATGTCTGCTTGATTATCTGGGTCACCCCAACACCTTTTACAGTACCTGGCACCTAGGAGATGCCCAATAAATGTTGGAAGTCAGACTGGCTCCCACAGGGGCAGGCCCAGTACTGGGTGCTGTGGAGATGGTGATAGTCCAGAGAAATGTGAGCTCACATGGCATGGGTCACAAATGAGAGTTTACCCTCTCCACCTTTGTCTCATGGGTAGAAGGCCCTGAATTCTGTCCTGGCTAATTTTTACTAAAAGTTCCCTTAGAAGCAAATTTCCATGTGGAAAATTCAAGTGGGATCAGAAACTGTGAGGTTCAGATGTGTGTTTTTGCAAGAGGGTCAGACTACTTCAATAAGCCATGAAGTAAATTTATTGGGCCGTGACCAGTATCTTTTATAAAATTAAACGGAGGGCTGGGGGGTGGCACAGCAATAACACAACTGGACTCATACGGGTAAGGTCCTCAGTTCACGTCCAGGGACCTCCCTAAACATATGTGCATGTGCCCTTGATCTGGGCCAATTGACACTGGGGACGGATCACGGCATGAAGGCCCTATGGAGATGCCCCCCCCCTTCCTTTCTGTCACCCTTTCTCATGGAAGCAAGAAACTTCTAAAAAAATTAAATAGAACGCAAAATATCAGATTGCATCTAAAGGGATATTAAAAATATTTACAAACTGGCAGAGTATGAATACTAATCAATCAGAACAGATGCTGTGACCAGTCGGAATGGATGCGATGACTGGAGTGGCCTTCCGGTGTGTACCATGTGAACGTCAGTCCTAGTGCATTGTACACCGTGAGAAAGTGCTCTCACGAACCTTTTATTTTAGCTACATTCTCAGTGGCCCACACTGTAAAAAGTATTTCATACTGGAGCTCACGGTCAAAAAAAAGTGTGAGAGCCCCAGGCCTAGAACAGGGCCTGGGCTCATGATACAAACTCAGTACGTATTTGTCAAATAAATAGATGTTTAGATGAAACGAGAGGCTTTGGCAATGAGGATGCATGTGAGGGGGTTGGGGCATGGCGGGCAGAGGCGGCGAAAGCAGATGGAGGTGAACTTACTTGTTGAGCTTTTTGCTTATTTGCTGGCCTTTATCCCAAGTGAGAACAGGCAGCAGCCATTTCTGTGATGAAGAAAGAAAGAGTGGGCCTGGGGACGTCCGGAGAGGCCAGGGCCTGCCCATATTTCCTCCATCTTCAGCCTCCCCCTCCCTGGCCTCAGCAAGACAGCTCCCTAACCTTGCCCCCCTCCAACCCACCCTCCAGGGCAGAGGGAAGGTTTGTGCTCATTCCAGTGGGACAGCCATTACTCAGCTGACTGATGCTATGCAAGAACAGAAGGTCACTGATGCTAGAAAGTTTTGCTCTTTCAGGAAAAGCTGGAGATAATGTGGCTACGTTTGGCACAGGGCTCACCAGTTGGCCATATTTGGTTTAATGGTGAGCAATTGCTTGGTCAGAGTCTATATTTATCATTAGATTCTATGTATCTGGGGGCCAAGGCCACGTCTTCTTGATTACCCTGATCACCCCAACTGTAGGACATCAGCAAGGCTCAGGTTAGGGGCTCCAGGGAAAAAAGTGGTAGAAGAACTTACCTCCGAAACCACAGATGGCCATTGTGCCAGGCTGGTGGTCAGCGTCCACTCCTTAAAGCTAAGGGGAGAAGGGGCAGGGTGAGTGTGGGCAGCCCAGCCCAGCCCAACCCTGCCCTGCCTGCTCGCCCCATCCACCCAGGTCTTCTCACCTGCAGGCTTCCCGGCACACAGACTGGCAGCCCAGCTCTTCCTGGACAAAGGCTCGGTGCAGCTGGTAGTAGCAATACACTGAAGGGCAAGGTAGAGGGCAATGTGAGTTCTGGGGCCACAGGGCCCTTTCCGGGGGTCCCAGGGTCGCAATGGTGCCCTATCGTCTCATGGTAACTACTTTTCCACCCACTTTCTAGGAACACTGGTTCTCTGGAAACAAGTGCTGCTTTGTGACACTGGGAAAGAGACTACTACAGCAATTAAGGACACAAGCTGGGGGCAAGGCAGCTCTTGGTTTGAGACCAGCTCTGTTACTCCCTGGCTGTGTGACTTTGGCAAGGTGCTTAACCTTCTTGAACCTCAGTTACTTTTTCTGTTAAAGGGTTCTATCAATAGTTCCTACCTCCTGGAGTTGATTGAGATGGTCAAGCTCTTAGCACAGGTTGGGATGCAGCATTTGGTCCTTTATTGGGAAGTATAACTCAAGCCAGGCTTGACAACAGAAGTGAAACTCTAGTTAACACCTATCTGCCAATACCTCCCTTGGCAAAAGGCACCCGGGGCCCAGGAGCGCCATCGCACAGGCTGGGGTGGGGTGGGGGATGGGTCTCACTCACTCCAGTTGGGGTGCTGCTGGTAGTTGCAGTAGTTAGCTGCCGGAGGCAGAGGCTGGCTGAACTGAGCGCACCCACACACCTCCACCATCTTCGCCTGGAAGCACGAGTGAAGGCAGATCTGAAAGCGGAGACCCAGAGATTCCCTCAGTCTCTGTGGGGTGGGTGCCAGAGAGCTCCCTCCCTACACATCCTTCTGCCCAGAGGGTCAGCCTCCCACAGCCTTGCCTGCCCCTCATGCTGAGTGGTCATCAGGCATGGTGGTTCCCTGACTCCACAGGCACCAAGCTAGAAAACTTCCTGAGAATTTAGACTGAGCCCTGGAGACCGGGTTGAGTTAGGCTGGGGTGGTTATTTTCCATTGTGTGGGTACCAATGCAGGGATACGTGGGGAAATTGGAGCAGTTGCCAAGAAACAGACAAGTACGGTCCCTAATATTTCAACTCTTAGGTCCATGCCTTCCACACTGGTTCTTCGGCTATCGTAAGCTACCACAATATCCACAAAGCCTACGGCATGAAAGCTAATAGCAGAGGCTCTGAGATCTAACTACATGGGTTCAAATCCCAGCTTTGCCACTTACCTGCTGTGTCATCTTCGGCAAGTTACTTAACCTTTCTAATATATTGCTCTCTTCATCTTTGAAATAAGTATAACTGTCCCTACTTCACGAGGTGGTTGTGAATGCGAAATGAACGGATATATGTAAAGCGTTTGTACATGGTAACCTCTCATAAATACCCAGAGTATCTTTCTGATGGGCTGATTTATAAAAAAATCTTCAAGTCTATTTGATTGGGATTCTATTTCTTCTAAGCAAATAATCTCTGCGTGGTAATTGCTTTTACGCCATGTCTCCACCTCTTCTCAGCTAGTCTTTGATGTAAGCTGGAAGACTGAGTGGCTGAAGGTGCCTGGTCCTTTTATTCTGCCAGGATAGTTCTCACTGACTCTCTGAGTATGCTGGCGGGAGGTAACCTGCAGAGTCCCAGAATGTGAGCCAACGCATAACGTTCACCACAGTTAAGGGTTGAAGACTCCAATGCCTGGTGGGGGCAGGGGCAGCGATGTAAGTTATATGCTAGAGGGTGGTGGGCGCTGTGGGGACCAAAGATCACCTGCCTCATGTAAGGGAGCAGCCCCGCCCACGGCTTGTTCTGCATACATACGGGTTCCATGTTGCCAGAGAGTCTTGTATTTCAAGAGAATCGGGAAATCTGGATTTTCTTGTGAAATTCCCTGGCTTTTATTTATTCATCTTTAGAGCTTATTTACTTATTCTATGAGTGAGAAAGAGTGAGAGTGCACCCACCAGGGGTCCTCATGCTACAATTTATGCCCAAACCTCAAGTGCACACAGATGTCCCGTGTACTCAGGGAGGTCTCCAGATGCAGTCCTGGGACCTTCCCCTGTGGGTCAGCCTTGCAGAGCATTGCACTACTATTGCACTACTGCTTTGCATCTGGCCCCTCTGACTGTTAAACGCCAAGGTAGGCTAAAAAAGAAAAAAACAAACGAACAAAAAACCAGGTGTGTAGCCCGGGAGGGGCCCGATTCAATCCAGCCTCCCCTTGTGATTGTTGAGTTTGGCTACAACTTGTCCAAGGTCACCAGTAAATGAGTGGCACAGCAGGTCTGGAAGCCAAGCTCTTGACTCCTCAGCTGGTGTCTCTCCTGGACTGCTTCCCTCCAGTCCCTCACTTACTAAGGCCCATTTAGGAAGCAGCAGGCCTGTCCCAGCTGGGTTCCACCCAAACCTGGGTGAATCAATTAAGCTCTGGTTACAGACAGACTGAAGAGGACTGGAACCAACCAGCATTATTTGTTCTTGAGGTCTTTGGATGAACCCCAGTGATCCTCACCCAAGTTCCTGATCCCAGCCACACCCCAGCCTAAGAGAACTCTGTCTCTTAGGTCTAAGCCATGACCCAGGCTAGGCACCTGGGTATCCCCACCAACCCATACCTGCAGGGAATAGGCGGCATTATAGATGTTCTTGACTGGCACATCACTGCCGTCCTCCGTGCACTGACTGTATGGTTTACCCAGCTTGAAGGACTCCGTCTGTAATCACAGTAGCACACAGTCGAGGACTTCATGAGTAGCCCTTGGGAGCTGAGCAGCCATTTATGTAGTTATTCATGTAACAAAGAGTTATTGAACGCTGCAAGGTGTCTGGTGCCATTGTAGATGCTGGAATCAACAGTGATCAAGGTAGACAAGTTCCCTGCTCTCACGGGTCGCATGTCCCATGACCAACAGAGTAAATACATCCACAAGATGATATTGGATAGTGATCAGTGAAACTGGGTAAGGAGACTGGAGGGCCTGAGAGGAGTAGGTAGGGGACTAACCACAGTGTGGTTTGGGAAAGTGCTTCTGAGAAAGGGATCTGTCAGCCCCACACAGGATGGCAAGGAGGAATTGATTTTGTCAAGAAAGGAAGGAAGGGCCAGCCAGTGGCATGGTGGGTAAGGCGGCTGGATCCCACATGGCCAACTTCATGGTTTGAGTCCCGGACCCATGGGCTGGAGGAACATGCCAGGCATGAGTGCGTGCCCAAAGTCCTGAGAGAGGAATGGAAAGGGATTGTGGCATGGCCATCTCTAGGAAAGGGGAGTGATTTCTCACTTTCCCTCGCTCTGTCTCTCTGGCAAGTGCATGTACCTCTTTAGCAAACTAGGGAAACAAACAAACAAACAACCAAACCCCAAAGACATGGAGGAAGAGGCTTAGGCAGAAGCAGCCAGTGTGACTAGAATGAGGCAAAAGAGAGACACTGCTGAAGAGAAGATTTGGGGACAAATCATGCCCTGCTGAGAAGTCTGGATTTGCTTTTCTAGGTGCTAGTAATTAACAGGTGAATGCGCGGAGAGGAGGCACTGTGGGCTGCTGGGACTCCGGGTCCCATGAGGGGCCCATCTCCTACTGGTCTTTTGACCCCAGAAGTTGACTTTCTTAGAAAGAGTCATAGAATGTCCAACAGAGAACTCTGGGTTATCATAGGACATGTTCAATTAGGTTTTATTATGGTTTACTATGTTTGACTTTAGCTTAATATTTGTCACTGCTAATAAATAATCCCGACAAGCAAATAGGTGTGTGTGTTCAGGCCTACACACACACACACACACACACACACACACACACACACAGGAGTGGAGAGGTAACGTCTTCTAAGGGGAAACAATAATTGAGCATAAGTTGCTACCAACTGATAGTGAGGTTTCAAGGTGTGTGTGTGTGTGTGTGTGTGTATGTGTATGTGTGTACATGCACATGTATGTACACACAACTTTTTTTTTTCTGGGAGAGGGCAGAAGAAAAGGAAAAAAGGATGGCAGGTTTGTGAGAAGAAAATTATTTTTTCTTTGAAGAAAGAATGAAAATTGTGGGGGAAAAGGAGCCAAGAGGTTTGAGCCAGGTAGGAACTGTGGATACCTCAAGTGGTGCTTAATCTCTTGTCCATATTGTCATTCAGCTGTTGACCTATTAGTCTCCCTCAATTAACTGCAGGTGCCTCAAGGGCAAATGACAGTGCTCATTTAAAAATGTTTAAACAACAGAAGAAAACAAAAGGGAAACTAGCGGTCTGGCCTTTCTTCTCCCCAGGGTACTCATTCTCTCTCAGATACAGAGACAAACAGGCCTGTCCTCACAGGCTCTCCTTGTCCTGGGAGCAGCCTTCTACCAATAAAGAGCCAGTTTCCCTGCCAGCTCCGAATAAGTGGACCTAATAGCTGGGCAGCAAATGCACATAGAGACTCCAGTGCATCCCAGGGCAGGATTGAGGTACAAAGACTTGGAGCAGTGGCCCCCTGGGGACACCCCCAATTCCATGCTCTCCTTTACGCTTCTGCAAGCAGCACGCTCCCTGGGCAGATGTTCGCCTGAGATCTAGGTCCTCCTGAGGTGTCCCCAGAGCCCAGCATGCCAGTTATGGGCTCTACCTGCCCAGGGCAGATAGATGCGATACCTTGGCCTCCAATGGAGAGGGCCTGCCCACTCAGGCCAGCCACCTGCAGGCAGCAAAAGTGGCTGGGGGGCCCCCCAACCAGCCATGAGCCGCTTCCAGGAAACTGAGAAATTATTTTGATTGCTTTGCTTTCTGAGTACTCAATGGCCCTTCACTCTGCAATGATGCTTATCGAACTCAGTTCTTGGGTGGCTCAAGTTACTTTCTAAAGAATCTGAGGGTGGGGCACATGGGCTTTTCTGAGTGGAAAAGAGATCTTCAGTTTCTCAAAGCCTCAACCTGACGAACTTGAACAGAGTGCTCTGCCCCCTTCCCAGCCCCACTGCCAGCTTTGCAGAACTGTTGGCCTGTGGAAGGTGAGGAGACGTTTTGGCTTCTGTCCTGATCCCTCCCGGCACTAAAATTAAAGTATGTATGTATGTATGTATGTGAATGTGCACAAGTTACATGAGTGTGTGCATGCACGTATGTGTATGTGTGCATGTGAGTGTGTGTGTGCATGCATGGGCACACGTGGGTATGTGTAAGTGGATGTGTGTCTACATGCATATGTGCGAGAGTGCGGAAGGACACAGGACCCATATTTATCAAACCAGGTCTACATGCTTCCCTCTGAAAATACTGGAGAATTTCCACAGAAATCATTAGCTCTCCTTCTTTTTCCTCTTTTTTTAAAGTTTACTTGCTTCTTCCATGCAAAAAGGAAACGGAGAGAGCGAGAGAAAGGCAACCCCACAGCCCTCGCACTGTAGTCCCTCTCCCGCAGCCTCAACCAGCCAGGGTCCTGAGCATGCATGTGTGCCGGGTGTCTGCCAGGTGTCTACCGGGAAACCTCAGGACATGACCCTGGGCCTTCTCATACGGAGGTACCACCACGGCTGGCCCTTAGCTCTCCTCTTAACAGGTATCAACTGTGCTTAGGGGACAGCCCAGGTGAACCTGAGGAGCAGGGAGGTACGGGGAGGTGTTGGGGCAGCCTTTGTCAAGCCCCTGCAGCTTCCAGGTTGGAGAGTCAGCACCTGCCTTCCCACAACAATGAGGGCTCCAGCCTACCTTGTCACCCCCAGCTCTGAGGTGGTCAGCTCATCTGGGCTATTCCCAGGCAGGATGGCCTATCAGACTACTGTTTTCTAACATCATCCCAGGCAGTAACTTCCGAAGTCACCTTCTCAAGCAGACTGCCTTGCCATAGCTGAGATTTTCCAAACTGTGTTCTTTCTGTATCCTATTTTAGGGCCCATTGCAGAGGAGTGGGCAGCAAGCAGGTTGGTGATCTCTCAGGCTCAACCTGAGCAGTCCTGCATCTCCCTGTTGCCATGTGTAATCTTCTGGGTAAGACTTTCTTTGAGTGGGAGACTCTTCCCATAGCAAAGAGGACTCCCTGTCCCAGCCATAGGGCATGATTGAGGGGGTCTATCCACACTAATGAACAGTGCTAATTAGCACCCTGGGCTGCCAAAGCCCAGGTCTGGCTCTGGGGGTAGGTGGAACTCCTTATCAAGTCCTGCCCTTGTGCCTCAAAAATGGACCTGTACTTCTAGCAGGGAGAGAACAGCAGTGACTGGATTAAGAATGGAGCAGGGAGATGGTCCCCTCATTGAACCTGTGCAGGCCTAAGAAGGCCTTTGGTATTGAGCAGTTGTTGGTTGCTTTGGTCTCTAGACGGCCTTCGTGGTCTCTCCTATGGTCCCATTCTGACTATCTCCCCTGGTCAGCACACAGGGCTGAATTCTGAGCACTCCTAAAGGTCTTCCTGTGGGGGAACCAGGTTATGGTCAATGGTCAGTCATCCCTAAAGAAGCAGAGATCCTAGAAAGGATGGCTAAGAGGTCAGAAATTCGAGCCATGAAGAGTCCAAATCAGTCTGGGAACCAGCAGTTAGCGTAATGGCTATGTCGCTGGACTCCCACGTAGTCGACCGCGGTTTGCGTCCCTGACCCGGTGGCTTAGAACTCATGCCGGGCGCGGGCGCGTGCGTGCCCAAGATCCTGTGAGGAGAATGGAGGAGAAGGGATTGCGGCGTGACCATGCCCCCTGGGGTGTGCTTTCTCGCTTTCTGTCTCTGTTTCTCTCTGTCTGTCTGGCGAGCGCACAAGCCCTATAGCAAAAGAAAAAAAAAAAAAAACTCCCCCAAAAAAAAAAAAAACCTCTCCAAAAAAAAAAGAGTCCAAATCAGTCTGGGAACCAGCAGTTAGCGTAATGGCTATGTCGCTGGACTCCCACGTAGTCGACCGCGGTTTGCGTCCCTGACCCGGTGGCTTAGAACTCATGCCGGGCGCGGGCGCGTGCGTGCCCAAGATCCTGTGAGGAGAATGGAGGAGAAGGGATTGCGGCGTGACCATGCCCCCTGGGGTGTGCTTTCTCGCTTTCTGTCTCTGTTTCTCTCTGTCTGTCTGGCGAGCGCACAAGCCCTATAGCAAAAGAAAAAAAAAAAAAAACTCCCCCAAAAAAAAAAAAAACCTCTCCAAAAAAAAAAGAGTCCAAATCAGTCTGGGAACCAGCAGTTAGCGTAATGGCTATGTCGCTGGACTCCCACGTAGTCGACCGCGGTTTGCGTCCCTGACCCGGTGGCTTAGAACTCATGCCGGGCGCGGGCGCGTGCGTGCCCAAGATCCTGTGAGGAGAATGGAGGAGAAGGGATTGCGGCGTGACCATGCCCCCTGGGGTGTGCTTTCTCGCTTTCTGTCTCTGTTTCTCTCTGTCTGTCTGGCGAGCGCACAAGCCCTATAGCAAAAGAAAAAAAAAAAAAAACTCCCCCAAAAAAAAAAAAAACCTCCCCAAAAAAAAAAAAAACCTCCCCAAAAAAAAAAAAAACCTCCCCAAAAAAAAAAAAAACCTCCCCAAAAAAAAAAAAAACCTCTCCAAAAAAAAAAGAGTCCAAATCAGTCTGAATTCAGATTCCCACCATGCTGCCTAGTAGCTATTTGACTTTGATCACATTATTTAACATCTCTGAGCCTCCGTTTTTTCCAGAACAATGACAACACTTGATCCTGATTAAGCACTCACTGTGCAACCTCAAATGTCAATCTTAAGCACGGACTGAGATCACTGAGACTGGATGAGAGCAGAACTCCCAGGTAAACCC